CGGCGCGCTCCCGCCTCCATGCGGGCCCGGCCCGCCCCGCTCCCGGCAGCCGGCAGAGGCGGAGCCACCGCCGGGCGGGCCCTGGGCTGCGCCGAGCGGGGCCAGCAGCGCCCGAGGTATTTCTCGCTCCCTCCCTCTCTCCTCCGCGTCCTTCCGCCCCGCTCCGTCACTCACGCGGCGCGGTGGGAGGGGACGGCGGCCAGGGCCGGTCCTGCGGCGCCTCCCCGGGCAGGGAGGGGCCCGCAGCTGCTCCCCCCCAGCCGAGGCCCGGGGGGCGGCGGCCCCGCAGCGCTCGCCCCTGTGGCGGGAGCGGGCGCGCCGCCGCTCGGCGCGGTGCCCGGGGCAGGGAGTAAATGATTAACCTGCGGGCCATTGAATAGCTGCCTAAAGGCGCGCCCAGGGTGGGGTTTAACCTTGTCCGAGGCTCGGTGCCTCGCGTGTGACTCTCTGCCCGAGACCCTGGCGCGGCCAGTTCTGCTGCTGCCGCCGAAGCGCTGCGGGGATGCGCAGCTCCCTGTTGAAAATCTCTGCTCTAAATGTCAGCCTAGAGCTCGCCTCGCAGTCGTTTTTGGAAGTATCAGGCTCAAGAGGTCGAGGTGATGTGGGGGTCTGGGCGAGCGGCTCTGCAGCAGCAGCAGCCTCGGGCTGCAGGAGCTCGAGTGTTTGTGGCTGGCCCTTGAATCCGTGCTGGCCCCTTTTCCTCGGGCTGAGCTGCAAGGAGCGCAGCAGCTGCGGCATTTAGGTCAGTGCTCCGCTTCTCTTGCGTCAGGAAAGCTGTCAGTGCGGCCCCAGCCTCCTCCTGCTCCCCGGGGCTGAGCAGTGAGTCAGGAGATTGTTCCAGTGATAGCACAGAAATGCCTTCTCTCCTGCTGCCTGCCTCTGCTCTCCTGACACGCTGCTCCTGGTTGCGTTTTTAAAAAGCGCTTAGCACTGTATGATTTGCATTGTGAAATGTTGTGTTACTATAACGGGTCCGTCGTAACATCCGTAATCTAATTTTTTGCTGTAGTTATTCCTTTAATTTGTGCAGCAGTGTTGTCAAGGTTGAATTAATGTTTGAGAGTATTTTGTTCTATTGGAGGAAGTTTCTCCTGACTGGAGAAATACTGCAATGAGATTTGTGAAGAATTATGTCACGAGTACCTGTTTTTAAGATTGATGTTGGGATTTGCTTCATTAGTGTTTTGATTGTAGTGTAAGTTTTACCTTTTCCCAGGGGTGACTAGAGTCTGCCGTTTTGTTTTAGCCTTCCACAAACTTTTGTTTCAAGTGTGTACAGCCTAAGAGATAATGTGGTAGAAGATGTTTACTTGTGTGTGTTTGTGCTCTGGAAGGATTAAATAGATGTTTTTCCTGCTTGTTAGCATGGGCTGATTTTAAAAAAGCTCTAGTACTAGATCCCAGTTCTCTGGTAAGTTAGAATTCATAACTCAATACTGTTAAGATTTTTAAAGCCGCCTAATGCCTCCACTTTGTCTCCTCCCTCCCACCCCCAACTTTTTTGGTAAATTCACTTATATTTGGGGACAGACATTTTAGCAAGGTCTAGAAAGAAATGCTTTACAATGAGGGCGGTGAAAAACTGTCAGGTTGCCAGAGAGGTGGTAGATGCTTCATCCATGGAAACATTCAAGGTCATTTTGGTCAGGGCTCTGAGCAACCTGGTCTTGTAGATGTCCATGCTCATTGTGTGAGGTTGGACTAAATGAGCTTTTAAAGGTCCCTTCCAACCCAAAGTATTCTATGATTTCAGGTGTTTTTTATATTCTCCTGAGAACCGCAGTAGGATTTACTGGTGTCCTTTATCTTTTTTCCTCCCTGACATTCAAGTTGATTAAAGGAAAGCTCCTGCCACAGACAGAATCCAGAACCTGAGTTTTTCCATATGCCTGAGGAACAGAATTTGTGTATTGTCAAAGAAAAGAAACTGATGTTTTTCATCTCATTTTACCATAGAACTTCATTTCTCCTGAACAAAACAGTCCTATAGTAATAATTACTACTTGATGCCAACTCCACAGTCACTAGGAATTGATTTGAGTGTTCCAGATGTGGACTCATAATGACTTTGGGATCTAGTTAAACTGCTGTTTGCTCAAATGGAGTTTTGTCTTGCATGTTGTGTCAATTTGACTAGATTTGGTTGCGATTTAACTAACAGTGCATGAGCACACGGCTCATTTCTTGTTTTATCAATTTCTATCTGCCTTTTGAAACTTTTTGCATAACATAGAAAGAATTAGGAGTGTTTTAAGATACAATTTTTGAAGCTCCTTTGGTTCAGGCAGGTGAATGAACATCCATGTCTGATTTAACTTCCTGAATCAGGGAATCATCCTCTTGTTGCACTCTGTACAAGCATTATTTGCCAACTTTGTGATTACACAGACACAGTGAAGACTCAGTCTCCCCCCAAACCCCAAGAAGAACTCTTGAAATGAGTGTTGTTTAATGCTTGATATATATATGTGTGTATCTATGTATATGTATGTATATATCTATGCATATATATATGGTGCATTCAAAGAGTAAAAAAATCTGTACAAGAAACCATTATCTGAAACATAGTTAAGAATGTTGGGGAAACAATATTCAGGGCATTTATTTGCGTAGAAAATTGTACTTGGGCTGAGAGCATACGCTATTCATGTGTGTCTTCTAAAAATATTTTCACATGCAAATTACACACCCGCTGTTCAGTTCTAACCATGTTGTTGCTGCATGATGGTCTCTGAGAAACTGAGAATGGAGTGGGAGCTACCAGCTGAAAACTTTTGCTTTGCAGGTTTTGTTTCTTGGATTTTACTTCTGCTTGACTTTCCTCTTTTTTCCAAAACCTAACATAAGAACATTTCCAAAATGGCACTTTGCAAGTTTAAATTTTAATGTAAGAATAATAAAGTAACTAATTATAGATGTACCTCATTTTCTCTGTTTAATTGCTTAATATATTAATTATGTTCTGTTTTTCAAGTACAGACCACAAGAAAGCCATTGTCTCAGATAATTTGTATATGAAGTCCAGGTGACTGTGATGGTAAACTTTCTTGCATTCCTCAACTATTTTTAAGCCCACAAATTAGTAACAGTACTGATTGTGATATATACACATAGTATCCTTTTGCTATTGCATTGCAATACTTTAACCAAAGGGAGGGAGATCTTTTCTAAGAGGAGAGTCTAAAATAAGAGGCCAGGGTTTTTTTTTTTTGTCAGCTGCTGCCTTTTTCAACCCTTTATTTTTTCTGGAGTAAAAACCTCTTACATTTTTTTGACTCATTTTCAAAAGTACAGGGAAAAAAAAAAGAAGTGCTGCATTTTTTCCCTACTATGGTGCCTGTAGCCTTGACAGAGCAGGAGAAATCTATATATTGCTCTGAGGTAAAGGTAGATTTCTTTTTTCTTCTTGGATCTTATAAGAGTGCCTCTTACTTTGTCATCCTTAACAGGAGTGTGTTTTTTGCTGTGTAGAAAGAGAGAAGCTGAATACTTGACACCTGATGCAGTGCTCTCAGAAATTGCTGCAGAGATTTCCATTTGGGAATTGCAGCTGGCCTTTGAAATAATTTCTTCATTTTCATACTATTCTTAAAGTTATTTTACTTTCATTTCCTACAGCCTGTAGGCTTCTGACCCCATTCTAGTAGGGAACAATAGCCAAGAGTTAACTTAGTATCTCTTGTGTTTTCAGAAGTGAATTATTTTCAGGAATCTTTCTAGTGGGAAAATACCAGTGGTGAAACGTTGTTTCTGAAAACCATGGAAAGCTGATTGCTATGTGATATGATCATAGTGGTTGTGTTGTGCATTTGTGTCCTTAGGAATCTTCCAGTACTTAGGTTATGTTTCTGTGGCATTGTGGTGTTGTATTGCTACTCTTGTGAAAATCAGCAAAAATAGAAAATACAGCTTAATGTTGATGGAAGGATTTGGATAGGACTAGGCAATAGGATTAGGATAGCATGAGGCAATATAACAACAGTCAAACAAAATTCATGTCTCTGTAGTGGCAAAGATATTGGCTAGCTTGATGCTAAGGACTTGAAAGTTTGGAGATGCATTGGTTAAAAGACTTACAAAGTAAGGAGGATTCAGCAAGCCAAAGGTTTTGAAATGAAATGAACAAATAGTTAACACTAGCCCAGATGTGATATGCTGGTTTCTGGTTTCATACATTAATTGCTCTTTTAAGGCAGGTTATATTTGACTCTCCTTTTTGTTTGGCCTTTATACTGTTTTTCTCTTCCTCTGTATGAAAGTCTGGAATTTCTAAGGTGGTTGTAGGTTTAACTGGTTGACTTACAGCAGAATTCCAAGAGGTACTGTCAGTAAGGTTTCATTCATTTTGAGAATAGTGATTTTTCAGCAACAGCTGCTAAAGACAGTGTTGTACTGGGATGGTGTAAAAGGTGTTGTCACTCTTGTGTGTGTTTATAAAAGGGAAATTAATACTAAATTATATCTATGCAAATAAACAATAATTGATATAATGACACTTCCAGAAAGAGTCTTAGTTGTTTCATTCTGTTTTCAAAGTAAGTTTAAAGGCTGTTTGTTTTCTTGAATAAAGTGGTAATCAAATATATTAGTTAAAGTTGAACTCTCGTGAATCTTGGAAAAAAAAAAAATCTAAGTATCTTAGCTGCAGAACCCAGTTCCTGTGTTAACAGGGCAAAGAATATTAAGTAACACACTTGCTGTCCAAGAAATTGGCCAGATCTTTTTGTACTCCATAATGTGCTTGAAGATATTTTTCATGTATTCCGGTGCTTTCAGAAGGAAGAAGTCTTTTCAAGTAGACTGATTCTAAGTTTGTGAGATGTACTGACAAAGGAAAAAAGAACAATAATCCATTTTGTGAAATTTAAAAGTAACAGATTATCCATTCTTACTTACTGTGTAAACTTATACTGATGTAGCCTTACCTGTCCATTGGAGTCTTCCCCTTCTGGTACTTGAAGCAGTCGAGCTACATTTTATCACCATTATTTTGTGGTTCTTTTCTTATTTAGTCTGGGAGATTTTTGCTTTCTGCAGTCCCATTTGGTTAAACGTCCTGTGTAAGGATGCTGGTGTTGTTGCAGCCACTTTACCCTGTGTGTGAACAGAGACTCCAGCTTCTGGCGTCTCTTTTGAGTGAGTGCTGTGTAAATGCAAAGAAAGACTGATGCTTTTTCTGAAGAGTTTCAAATGCCTGTCTTGTCGTCTCTTTCTGGAATTGCCAGCATATTGCATACTTCCCTGATTTTTCACAGAGTTACTTGAGTCTAAAGAGCTTGTTAAAGTTGGTAGGACTAATTCTGTGTGAGCTTAAAGCCCTTGCAAAATCTTTCCTGTTTCTGAATTATCCTGTGGTGGTTTTGTTTGGTTTTTTTAATGTCTGAAAAATTTATTTGTATATGAAGTCATTCCTTAGGTAGGGCTAATGAAAGAAAATAACTTGTCTTTATTAAGGTGTAGGACCCAGATATTTTTGTCACAGTTTTCATTTGCTTCTGGTGCTGAATCACTGCATGATTTTGTTACGCTGGTTGCTGTAAGAATGCAGGTAGTTCTTCACTCTCAAATAGGAGACGTTTTGGGCCTGGAGACCACTACCCTTTTCTAAATAAATTTTTTTTTTAAGTCTGCAAACTAATTTTAGAACACTTTTTCTGTAATTCTTGGACCCTGGGTTGACAGAGGGTGTAGGGAGTCGATGAGTGGGATCATGGTGGTAAAAAAATTATTACCCTTTTTCCCTCTAGCCTAAAATATCAATAGTTCAACTTCTAGTTGAAATGAAATATTGCTGAGTTCTGGTTTGCTGATGTAAATTTAGTGCCTCTCTCCTTCTCAAGTGTTGCAACCCACTGGCCTGTTAAGTGTATCTAATTGTATGTCCTCTTCCCTGTCAATTGCTCAACCTTTCTTTGTACTTTAAAATTAGAGATATATTCCAAAGCTATGGTAGTGTTCAGTACTTATTCTATGTAAAGCGTCATTTCTCTGTAATTGTCCTTTTCAGCCTGTCAGTGCTTTTTCCAAATATCAGAAATGTTATTAACTAGGCAGACTGGTAATTTTTATGTAACCTGTGGTGTGCTAATGCAGAAGTTTTGAGGTGTGCTGATGTCATTCTTTGTACACAATACGCTGTAATTGGCATAACTTTTTGTTTCTTTCTCTCTCTCTTTTTTTTTTTTTTTTTTTTGGTTGCTTTTTTCCTAGTTAAAGTTTTCACTAAAGTAATTTTGCACCTTGGCCAAAACTCAAAACCAATCATCTGTTTTTTACATGGCAGCAGCACCTGGCAATGTGAGCATACCACGGAACATTTCCTTGCAAATTTGTTCTGTCTGCTCTCAGACAGGGTGCCAGGACAGGGACTTGTTACTTTGGTAGTCAGGTATTGACCTTCCTTTCTAAACTACTATGCCAGATGCCACACTTCTAAGAAGGGTTGCAAACATGGAAATGCAGTTAGTTTTGTTGCAAACAACTATTCTAAAGTAAATTTTTTTCTAAGACACAAAAGCAATAGAGTTTATTGTTAAAGGGGAACTTAAATATTTAGTAGAATCAATTACCTTTATTAATCAGAAAAAATATTGAAGTTTCATAACACAAGTATAAAATAAAGATATCTAAGGTAGGAATTTGCTGGTGAAGATGCTGTGTCAGTTTGTGAATCTGGCTGACCTCTTGTTTTTGGCTTTAGAATTGCTGGCTTGATTGTTGTCTCTTGCTGCTTCTTAGCTGCATCTTTGAACCATGTCCCTTTATTTCATGACTTCATGGTTGATGTGGGTGCACCATCCTGTGACCTAACTTCTGCCACTTAAACACTGGTGGAAAATTGCACTCCTTTTGTGGATGTTGTTGGAGTATCCTGTAGTTTCAGTGAGTGAGGTCAAATAGGGACAGGCCCTCTATGCAACCTAGCAAACAACAGAGGGTACTAGTGAATGCTTGGGGAAGTCATGTAAATAATGTCTGGAACTGTAGAATTTAAAAGGTTTTCAGTGTATTTAAAAATACCCCAGAACTCAGTGTTTTGAAATGTCTTTTGAATGGTCCTAAGACCAAAGTTAGCAAAGCTGCTAAAGTAAATTTCTTTTTTTTCCTACATATTCTGCTATTTATTTCTTCTTGTTGTTGTTACCACTTAAATAATGCTTATATTGTTTACAGTAGTGTGCACAGTATTAATATATTAAGTTACTTACAATAGCAGGTATTAAATGTTCAAATGAAATAATTATTTAGAAGATGAACTTTTTTATTTAGTTTGTTTGGCAGAGTTCATGTATTGTCACACAGCATAGATAAACTGTCACTATATTTCATGCTTCAGAATAGAGGATATGACTGAATTAATATAAGGAAAATTTATTTTGTAATCCAGCTTGGGTAATCATGTTTTTATAAAGCATTTCAACTTTTTTTATTATTACTTGTGGATTGTTTTAGTGAGTGTTTAACTTTTTTTTTTTTTTTTTTTTTTTTAGCAATACTGTATCATATTTCATGCATGAAATAAAGGTGTAAACTTAGGCACAAATCCAAAATGGAGGTCCTTATCAGAGCAAAACTGGAGGAACAAAACAAAATGTCAGTACTATAGCAGAGGTTCCCAAACTTACTCTGCTGAAGTTTACTCCCTGACCTTGATATCTAAAGGACTGTTGGTGCCAGTGGTGTTAATTTCTCTTTATAGGTATTTTTATTTTTTTTATTACTTTTATAGGGGTCTCTCAGCAGGACTTCTATCCCACATTCATAACCTGTGAACCACCTGAAACCAGGACCCAGCTCTGTGCTTAGGGGTTCATCAGCCCCTACTTCATCCTTTTGTGATCCATCAAAATCTACCCCTGTACAGCAGGCCCCCTTGGAAAGCTGCTCTCATAACAGTACCTGATTAGAAGACATTTGACGTGAAATGCAAGTGTGGTACTGGTTCTGAGTGCAGCTGGAAGTGCTGTGATGTTCCATGCTTAGGAACAATGTGTGGCCAGTGACTGGTCCCACAAACCCTTCTGCAGATAAGTAATCCTATCAAAGGCAGATGAGTGCATTTGATTAAGGATTACGTGCGATTAGTGGGCTGCAAGGTTGAGAGTACAACTCGTATCATTAATGAGTATTCACATATTAATGCTGCTTTGAGCAGAGATTGAACTAGATGCCTTCAGAGGCCTGTTCCTACTAGAATGATTTTTTGATTATCACACTTGTATTATGCAAATAGATAACTTCCTTTATAAAAAAATTCATTAGTTGGATAAGCTGAACTCTAGTAAGTCACTGCCATTATTTTACCTAATTGCTTCATGTAGTAGCATGGAGTTGCAAATTTGACCCAATTTTAAGATTAAAAACAGTAAGAGGAATACACCCCTGCCTTTTTTGTGTATTGCCTCAAATTCTTTGTATACAGTTTTATGTCAGATTGAATTCCTTGTGCAGAAATTCTTTCCTAGCATACAGTTGACTTTTTCTAGAATTAGTCCAGAGTAGAGTGCCTGAAAATTTGATGCTTTATGTGCAATTGAGGTGCATGAATGGATTTAAACTTACTCTGCCTAATTCTTGTACCACTAGTACTGAGACTACGGTAACAAAGGCATCAGTGCAGGTTAGCAGCCTAAGAAGGGCTTGAGGCCCTGAAAACTTTCCAAAGCAAGGGCTCAGAATGTGAGAGGGCATTCTTATATTTAAAAAAAAATCCCAAAACCACCGCCACCCCAACAAATCCCCCCACTGTTAGAATATACTATGTAGAATCTGAATATATGTAGATGTTGAGACACAGCTGGTTGAGTTTAATAAACAATAATCCTTCTTATGTGCAGGGAATCATATGGATTTTCTTCCTGTGCCTGTATAAACTTTGTACCCATTGATACTTCTATAACTGTTCTCATTTAGTATTGTTAATTGCTTCCTTTTAAGCAAGAAGTTGGTGGTAAGAAAGGAAATCTCTTAACTGCTGTCTGTAAAAGGCCAATCACTTTCACTTGCATGCAATTAGAAATGTTTTTATGTAACATTTTAAGCCTCCCAATAGTTGCATTAATCTCAGAAACAGGCTATAGTTGTTGTCCTGTCTTATTGGTAACAGTGTATTTCAGGAAAACACTTGGTTGTATGCTTTTATTTAAAAATACAAGGAGTATGGTAACATTGCAAGTAATGTGTTAAGGACCTGGCAGGTCTCTTGGGCTTATAGGGAGTTTAGAAAGCAATTAAAAGGAATAAGAGGTGCTAGGAAGGAGTGAAGTTATTTCTTTATGCTGCTCTTCACCACAAGGATGTTGTGAGCATTTTATTCTTTTCAAATAATGTTGATTGGATGTTATCTGATTATGGGATTAGAGTGGCAAAAGACTGAATGCTAGAATGAAGTGCTAAAGACTCCTAAGTCACCAGGACTCGGTGCTATTCATTCCTTTAGTGGTTGTAAAGGATGAAGTGGCTGATCTGCTAAGAAGAATGCATCTCGTTAGGATGAGATGCTGTGCCAGGAGACCGGAAGCTGTCAAGTGCTGTACATACTGTACTTCTAAACTGAACACAAAGAGCAGAGCTGGAATTTGCAGACCAAGGACTCTTATTTTAATGCCACTTAAGTAGCTTTGAATTCTGCATGGATAGTCTAGTAGTTCAGTGAGCACAAGATACAACAGCTTTCTATGCAGTTGTATCTTAGAGGTAATGAAAAATACCAGCTGCAGCTGGGGTACTTGTCATGTGTCTCTTGCTTGTGTGTTTGTTCCCTAATAACAAGGGCATAGGCTGCAGTCTGTACTTCACTTTCGTCTCTTTGTGGGTTGGTCTTCTATATCTATCTGCCCAGTACTTGGATTTTTGAAGTCTCTGAATTCTTATTGAACTATAAATGTCTTTTCAATTTTCCTTTTTGATAAAGTTTGAAATCAGGTAGTGGATTTGAAAGTTATAAAAGGCCAGGCCTAACCTAAGCAGACATGTTTAACTGCATTAATCTCTTCTGTGTTTAGCAGTCTAAACAATGACTAAGTTGCTCCTGTTATTAGCAGACAAGAGAGGGATGAACCTATACACTGATACACTCACGCACCCTGTTTAGTTCATCCCACCTTAAACTTGCAGTGTATGGCCTTTGGCAGGAAATTATATCCCATGCAATTTTTGTGAGGCTCTACAGGTCTTCATTTTTGATGTCATTGTGGGGATGATGACCAGTGACGCAGAGGTGGAGCTGAAAGTTAAAGCAGTTCAGTAGTATGCTATGCTGCTTTCAGTGGCAAAGCTGTGATGTACCTTGTAGTTTACACTCAGGTGACAACAGCAGTTTCTTAAGTACTGACAACTGTAGCTGCAATTGGCTGTGTGGTCTTGTTCCCTCACTTGCCCTCCTGTTGAATTAGCACAGTGATTTGTGCCATCATGCAGTGACTTGAATCAGAAAATTGATCCTGACTTCGAGAGGGGTCTGTGGCAAGCAGCAATTTCTAACCCAAGCTAGTTCCTCACTCTGGTCTAGTGGGTGGCTCCACCAGGAGATGGGATCATGGCCTAAGGATGAGAACAAGCAGCAGGAGGGTCCTCTCTCTTTGAACTGGCATTTTACCGAATATATGCTCATCAGATTATGCCTCTAGAATCTGTGACTCATCTTGCCCTCAAGTAAGCATCTCAAGTGAAATACTGAATACATTCTGTAAAATCAGAGAAAGTTGTGAGAAACTTGAAGGCAGCCTTCTAAAGCTGTCTGTATTAGTACGATGGTAGTAGATGACATTTGGTGGTTTTAGTTACAAAATAATTTATGCTGGAAGGAGTAACTTGAGCTACTTGAAGATTCTGTAATACAAGCAAATGTTCTGCAAAATATATGTATCATTATAGATAGCCAGGTGGAAGCCTCTTTGAAGAGAAGAAATATATAATGTATAACAAACATCCCTAAAATGTATGGCAATGGTGCTCTGCAGTAGCATTAAATGGAAGTTCCTTATTTGGGCATCTCTGCTTAGATGAACTGTCTGGTTTAATGAATTCATTTATACTTTATCAATCACTGCATATACATATCCTTTATGTATTTTAAATTATATTGTTAAGTAACAAGTTCTTGAAAACTAAGTAAAGTATTTTTAGTAACTTTAGACCAAATAAAATTGCTGTATTTCTTGCTTTCAGTTTAATTACTTCAGATGATCTGTACATTTTCAATAATGGCAATACATTCATTCTGCCATTTGGAGGAGCCTGTGCCACAGAATAATGATCTGAAGAAAGCTCACTCATTTGCAAGGAAGAGTCTTCATTTGGGAATTAGCACTGATGCAGCTCAAGGGTGCTTCTTCAAGTCCAGGTACATTTTCTTTAATTATACTTACTTGGGTTTGGTATGCTGGCATTTCATTTACATTAGCATATATGCTGTGTCCTGTCAGAGCCTTTGTGTTGGTCATTTGACACATGAAGTATGTTGAAATTAAAAGGCACATGTAGGAGCACAGATACTTATGAGATGTGTGGAGGGAAATAGTCTGGAAAATAATTCTGGCACCATTTATTATCTTGAGAGTAGCTGTAAATGGGGGTTATGGTCTTAATGACACAATTCCCTTTTGCTGCATGCTTTTTTCAGACTTTTTGTATGTGTTTATTATATAAATTCAGTATTTTGCTAAGCCTGAGTTGTTGCTTTTGATCAAAATGTTATTAAGTCTCAAGTCATTCAGAGGCAGTAAAAAGGAAGGCACAGTTAGGTTTCCACAACTTGGAAAATTTCTACTTTAAAAAAGTCAGCTTTGGAATTTTTAAAAATTTATTTTAATTTTATTTTTTTTTTAAAGTATGTTATCAAATCTTGGCATTGTAACACCTGACCAGGATTTAATTTTAGACTAATGGTTTCTGTATGTTGTGTTTATTTTTTTTTCAAGACATCCAATTATTTTTATAACTTAATCATGACTTCACAGCACAAATTGTTTTCTAGTAATATTCTGTATGGGAGCTATATGCAATGTACAGTCAATAAGAACTATTAGCAGTAAATTAATAAAATAATTGTGAATATTTAAACAGGCACTTGAATTTCTTGTGTTCTCATTGCAAACTGCGGGGATTCTTTAACTGGCGATGGGCTTAGTGTTCCAACCAGCAGACAAATAAATGATAGTTTGGGAAAAAACCCAACAGCCAAATGCTTCTTATCAGGTAGAGTACAGTTTGTCAGCCTTTTCAGTGGTACACAAATCAAGAATCCTTTAATGATATCTGTATCTGTCTACTCTGTTAGTTAAATTACTAGTTTGGTTAGTTAAATTAGATTTATTAGTAAAATTTCTGGATCGTTTGCATCTTTCTAGATGCATCTGTAATCTGGGAAGCCTTAACAGTACCATTTGTTATGCTAAAAATCCTGCAGAATTAAATGAATTTCAAATTTCTTAGGTATATTACTGTGGTATCTTTTGGATCTGGAAACAGAGGCTCCTGTTCTGTGTGTTTTCATGCACGTTTGACTTCCTGTCAGTGCCTTCCTGGTAGAGAACTGATGCTGAGAACTTTGGTGATGTAGAAAGAGCATTGCTTTTTTTTAAGTGTAAGCCTTTAGTTTAGTCCCCTGATTCTTGTAGGAATCATGAAGATGTTGTTTTAAATAAATGCTTTATAATGTAATGGATAATTAGAGGTCAGAAAAGAGTTTAAAATAGCTTTTGAACTGTTAGTGTACTCCAAACAGGAACAGCAGTAGTGAAAAGGAGGCTGTTGCTTCAGTGTACTTCTAAAAATTGAAATGCCTGTCAATAAAATCATCACAAACCAGAATTATCTGGTCCTATTTTGCAGTGTGAATGCTATGAATAGTGTTCACTAGATACAATTTTAAATTGTTGGGTTTTTTTTTTAATGATGCAGAATTATAAAAACTGAGGGCTTTGGTGTATCCAAATTTATTTTTAATGTAATTGAAGGACAATATTTATTAAGCTTATTAGGTCCTGCTGGTGAGAATCTATTCTGGCTGTACATGAAGTCAAACTTCAATGGAACACAGTTCCATTGAACCCAAAGTAGGACAAGACTAAAACAGAAACGAAGTTCAGCATTATTCATAAAAATGCTTATGGTGTCTATAATATGGATATTGAGAGCAGCAAGTGTATTTTTTTTTTCAGACTCTTTCAGCAGAACTGTTATTTTCCTCACACAACCTCTGGTACGAGGATAAAATTGGGTTTTTGTCAAAGAACAGAGTCCTGTATCTAAACAGTGAGAAGGTAAGGTATTTGAGATCATATCATTTCATCAAGCAGTTAAGAGTAATTTTGGTTATATGTTACTTTGCAGAGAAGCATACAAAAATGCTTGATTCATAATGCATCAAGAAGTCTCAAACATTTTATATCAGTTCCTTTTTGCTGGCTGGGGGTTTTTTCCCTCTTTTTATCTCATGGGTGGAATTTCTGAAAGCATTCAGCTCTGCTTTCTAAATGTGTTTTCTGTGAAATCAATGACTTGACCTGAGTGGGAATGAAGGTTGGTTTATCTTTGGTGAGTCAAAGTTAAGTTGTCAATAACTGATGTTGAAATACCGTCCTTCAAATGCTAGGTCCTTGACATTCAGTGGGATGAGAATCTCAGAACTGACTACTGGGGACTCCCAAGCTACAGATCAGGTAAATAACTTCTTTGGAGGAGGAAATTGCAGGGGGCTTCTTTTTAAAATTATGATAATTAAGTAGCAAAGTGTGCAACTTAAACTATAAATATTTCTCACTTAACATTTAATTTAAAATAGACATGTCTATATTTGTGAGAGGATTTGTTAGTTGCAGTTTGAGCCTTATGTAATTATCTAATATTCCAACAGTTCTGTTTCTAAAGAGGACTTCTGTACTGGCAGAGAACATGAATGTCTAGTTCTAATCCCATTTTCCTACATGAACCTTTGTGTAGTTGGTCCAACTACTGTGGTTTCCATTTTTCAAAGACAGAGCTTTTGATATTGAATGCATAATTTAGAACTAAGAGCTTCCATATTAAAGTAAGTGACAGGGGCTCTGTTCAGATCATGGGATTAACTTGGTTTGTTTCCTGCTTCGGCTTGTCTCCACTTTCTCCAAGGACAGGGTAACTCAGTTAGTGTTGTGACAGCTCAGTATGGTTGGTAACAGAGAGCCTTAAAGTGCCCCAGGACTGGTGCTGCTGTACTTTATTTCTGCTCTTGGAAAGTACAGCGGTGCTGCTGCCTCAGTACTGGGGGCAGGAAACTTAGAGAGCGGCGGTGTGCAATGGCAACAGGAGCTGTTATGGCCATCTCAAGTAGCTTGTCCTACTTCATGATCCAAGGTCCTCTTTTAATCTGCTTTTTGTGGGGGGATGGGGAGGAAAAAGTGAAAAATAGTTCTGTAATTGTTAAAAAAAGCAGTAAGTTTTCCTTGTTAAAAACCAAAAAGTTTTTCTTCTGTTGTAGTGTTTCAAAGAGAAAACATGACAGATTTGGGTATTTGTTTTTAAGACTTACCCAACTTCAACTATAGACTTACTTCCTTGCCATGTTCAAAACCAGAAAGATAATATAAAAGGATCAGTATTTTGAGATCAAGAATAAAAATTGAGAGTATTTTAAGATAAAAGATTACAACAAATCAAAGAAATACGTATATTACCTTTTAAGATATTTAACTTCAATGGACTGTTAACATCAATGAGATATATTTAGGGTTTTCTGTGTTCAGTTTATAGGCAATATAGAATGTGAGAGAAACAGCTGCATCTGAAATAGATCATCTGCTTTAAAAAGTAAGCAACTACTCCTTCCAAGACATTGGTTAAAAAAACCTGTAAAATACAAGTGGCTTTATAGTAGCTTCCTAATTCATTTACATAAGTAGAAGGAGAATCACATGCTTATTACAAGCTGTGTGTTCCTAAGTGGTGAAGAATACAAGGTTTGGGTTTTTTTTTCCCTATAGAAATGAGTAATCCCTGTAATTCTTGCCGCAGGATATGCTAAACGATTGGGGGCAAATTCCTGTACCTCTTGAATTCGTAAAGTTATAGAAAATCTGAGCAACAGTTATTTAAGGTTCTTTATAATTTAAAAAAAATGGTGTAGCACACAGCACATTCAATCTTAGAGAAGTGACGTATTTTAAGAGACAGTTCATTCTACTGTTGGTAAGTTTGTGCCATTAGCACTTTGAAATACAAGTATCTGAGCAATACATAAGCTGTGCATGTACCTCTCTCTGTAGGTAACCCATTGATATATTAGTTTTATGGAATATCTTTGGAACACTGTTCTTTGGAACACTGTTAGCTTCCTGCCTGCTCAGAAGGACGTATCTTAACTTGTTCTTGGGATTTGTGTTCCAAGAATGTCTGAGAGGGCTCATGTGGGAGCTGATGTGTAGCTTACTTTAGGGCTTAGCAACAATGGCAGGACTGGATACCACCCAATGTGCTACACTGATTTTGGGTCCAAACATCTTGACTTTTTTTTGGGTGCAGACCCAGAAATTTGTTATCCTGCTCATGAACATCCAGCTTAAATGGTCTCCTCTTGGATCCCACTCTTTTATTGTTGTCACATTGAACTGGTTGGTTATATTTTTGAAGGAGGAGAGTCTGATTCCTTATCTATAGCAATACAGCTATGGGAGCTTCAAGGTCTTCCAGGAGAGGGTATCTCATTCCTGACATGCTCACCAAGAAGAGGTGATGAAGCCTATGTAGTGCTTTGAAGATTAACTTCATTATCATGCTGTGGAATGGTAATTGTGTACGTTATGGAATACCATCAAAAAGAGCAGTGAAGCTGATTTTTAAGGAGTAGATTTAAGTATTGCATCCTTCAAGATGCTTTCTGTAAGTTAAAAGTATTTTAGATTGATTTTTACAGAATTTCAGAGCATTGAGAAATTATAGTCTCTGTATATAATAGACTACATTTACTGGCAGGTCTTTAAAGTGTTCTGTTAACTATTTGCAATGAGAACTTTTCTAAATAGAGACATCATGTTTGTTTAACAAGATTTTCTATGTAAGTATGCCCTTTCCATTAATTTATGATAGCATGCTATACAAGAGTTGTAATGTTAAGTTTTATTTTCAACTTTTTTCTTTTTACTGAGGTTCATCAACTAGCAAACAAAGACCCCTTACTTTTCAGCACCTCACTTTTTAATACAGATTGATCCCTGAGATGAGAATGTTCATTCTGTTAAAAGTCAATATTTTGCTATTTTTTTAATAACGAATAAACCTATCAGTACATGTGCTAGGTTATGGTCACTGCAGTTCATATTCTTAGTGAGGCACATACAGTTCACCTTTGACAGGTAAGTTACAATTGTAGATATTTCATTTTATCCAAAGAATCCTGGGAGCAGAGGTCTTATTTTAGGGGGCCGTGGAGGTAGGGAGACAAAAACAATGCATTTCTCTTGAGTCTGTTTTGAAAGCTGTTGTAAAGAAGAAAATGCATTCTTGTTTTATCAGGTGATGCTGGTGTCCCAACTCAGTTGTCTGGGAGTTACCATTCATAGCGTCCCAGGGGCAACACAGTAGTTAAAACTTTTTTTTTTTTAAATTTCTTTTGTCCTTTAAAGAACACTTGGATAAATAACTAAACTTTATTCCTTTAGAAGCAAAACAGTTGGGTTTTTTGGTTGTGGGTTTTTTTGGTGGTTTTTTTTTTGTTGTTGTTGTTTTTTTTGGGGTTTTTTTGTTGGTTTTTGTTTTGTTTTGTTTTTTTAACAGCACAGCTGGAATTGGCAGATGCTGTTTCAAACAACCAAGTAAAGTGCAGGTAGTGTTTAAGTACTATTGTGCAGCTGAACTAAAGGAATTTTGCTGGATAACTACTTGCCTGTTATTGTCATTGGCAAGTTGCAGGTAATTTCCAAAGCTGCAGTCTGGCAGAGAAGTAATAATTGCTTTTATGTGTATTTTTCAAGCCAAGGTACACACTTTACTTTTACCAGTGTTTTTACAAAGATTCAAAACTACCACAACCTTGTTGCTAACAAAAAAAAAAAAAAAAGTTTGTTTTAAAAGAAAAGGAGGTATGAAGAGAATAGTGACACCTGAGCGCACAGAGAAAACTTTTGTCAGATGAACTCCTGACAGAATCTGGCAGAAATTCAAAGTCTGGTTTGTCTCTAGTAATTCCATTAGCATTTCAAAGGTTGGTGATGTTCTGGGAATGACACAGGAGGGATTATTTTTAAGTTAGGAATTAGTACTCTAGAGTGTTGCCTGTGCTAGGGATGTTGTTGCTATCTTGCAACAGGTAAATGGACTATATCTGAGACATTCGGTTTTCTATCAGACGTTTCTCTACTTTATCTGTACTGGCATAATTAAAGTATCAGCCACCTTTCCCCGGTGTGAATAGAGCTGTATCAGTGTAAAACTGTATCTATTGGTACCTTATTTCCTCATAGAAGGAAACAACCCAGGAGCACTGGCCCAATTCCAGGAATTGTTTTTAATTATATTGCAGTTGCTATGCCAGTATAAATTATTCCTATTGGAGATCTTGCACCAGATGAAAGTGACTTCAATCTAGTTTATTTGCCCTTATCCATACAGCCCCATAAAAAATTACACCACTTCAGTTTCACGGGTTTGATTTGCCTTTGTAGGCAGACTTGCTCTTTACACTGACTTATCTCTATTTGTGCTAAAGGATATAAACAATGAGTGTTTTGACAATGAAAATGCATCTTCTGTTCTGATATAAGCCTAATCTATTCAGTTAATGCTAGAACAAGTACAGTTTACTGTGAAGGTTAGAATATTTCCATCTGGCTGTGTGCACCAGAGCCTATAGAGCAGCTGTACCCATCCTGAATCCTAACAACTCTGTTATTCAGCATGAAGTACAATGTTTTATGTACTCTTATCAATTTTCAACTGCTGTTTTATAGAACAGTGTCTTGCCTCACTTTTCTACTATCCAGTATGTGTTACCTAAGAGAGTTAGGAAGGTTGAAGTCAGAATATAAGATATTGGATCACTTGCATGTGCTTGTTCTATACAGATATTGTTGAGTAGATTCAGATAATCTCTGTTTTAGAGCTGCAAGTGAGGGAGAGATCTTTGATCCCATCTTAAGATGGGGGGAGGGGATTGTGATGGGGAAAAGAACTGAAAATAAGTATAAAATAAGTCTAAGTATACTGCTCTGAGCCTGGGAGCAGTAATGAAAGGACCCTGCTGGAGACTAACTCACAGGAACAGAAAGAGTCAAAAGCCCAGGGACCTTTGACCATTCAGAGAACATTCTCTAACTTTAATTAGCTGTTCTCTGTCCTGTGCTTACTGATTGTTTCTTCCACCTCTTGCTGTCCATTCTACCTCTTCAATTCTGCTTCGTTCCTGCATACTACATGAGCTTCCTCCCACCCAATGTGCCCTCCTTACCCTGTACCTCCTTCTATGTTGTTTGCAAGCAAAAGCCACCTGCAGAGTAGAACTACTGTTACATTTACTGCAGTCCTGCTGTTTGTGCTGTGTGTGGACTTTTCCCCTGTGCTGTCTTACCTGTTTAGACTTGTTTTTTTTTTTAATGTGGTCAGGGACCTTTTACTGTTCTGTGTATTTGCTCTATCCAGCATAAATGGAACGTCAGTTGTCATAAGTCCTTAGAAGACCTTAGGTATAGTTTAGAATAATATTCCTTTATCCTGTTGTTTTGTAAAAATCATTCATAAGCAATGAGATGAAATATAAGAGATTCCATGGGATAAAAAGGCAAAAATCATTCATAAGCAAATGACCACCCTTAATGAGATGAAATATAAGAGATTCCATGGGATAAAAAGGAATTTTGCTCTTGCAGTTTTTCTATAGGTGAACCAATGATTTAAAAGTATAATCTTACAGCTGTGGTTATATTAGTGTCCAGCATAATAGGATGAACCTTTCAGAATGAATTTTCTATTTGCTGTGTTTGCATTTTACTTGCAGTGGTTTGCAAATTGCTGGTTTGTTTTCCATGTCTTACAGCTATATAATTTGCTTTCTAGAAACCATCTTGGTAGGTGTGGATTGCTTGTCAGAAATCCGTTCCGAAGCTTGAGTGCAAAGGAAGCAGGGTACTAACGATGAATAAGAATGGAAATCTTGAGGATAACAATGGATACAGCATCTTCAAAAGTAGTGGCATTCTGGTAAGAATTTGCATGTAATTTATTAAACACTACGTGATAGTTCTCAGTAAAATGTGTTTGTGTCTCTCTCTGAGGATTTGTCGGATGAAATTTTCTTCTAAAATGTGAAAAGTAGGAGGATTGCTCTATATCATGAAGTATTTTAAATTCTGAAGCATTGTACAACAACTTTACTTAGCATTGAGTTCTTGCATATAAAAATAATGAAAACATCTTTATAGAAAAGTGAGTTATTTTAGAGAGGGAGTTAGTGGCCATTTATGGCTCACTGTGAGCCTGTTTCTCTGAATATTTGGAACTGAATATTTTTGAACTGTCATTTTAAAAAAAACTGCTTTTTTTCACTCAGAGTATAATCTCTCGTGGCATATTTCACCACTACACATGAGAATGTTCTAACAGGCATTGCATCCAGCTTTGCAGGAGATACAAAACATGTAATTACTGACAAACTAATCATAGCTGGAAACTTTTAATCCTCATATTGGTTAAAAAAATATGGCAGCATGCTGAGTTACTGATTGGTACTACTTTGTTGCAAGTTTCACACCATTTAAATAATTTACACAATTAGAAAGTGCAAGCAAAAACACCAATGAAAGTTTTACTGTAACTGCAATATAGTACAAGTGATTCCTTTAAATTCAGTATTTGAAATAACTTAGGCCAACAATTCCCTAAGCAAAAATTTTTGTTTTCACCAAAGCCAAGTATATTCTTATCTGTGTAGATAATGACTTCTTGAAATTAACGAAGAATTTATGCCTCTTTTTTGTCCTACTCTTTGAATCCCACTGCTGGTTTATATTGAAGTGGAACTGATCTGGTAGCAGCTGGCAGTTCTCAAAGCTCCTTGGTAAGGGTATTTTGAGGTGCTGGATGTGCATATGCTCTGTAGTAAAGAGCAGCACAGACACTGCACATTCTTCTGCTGAGCCAGTCTCATAGCTGAGATAGCTGTTCCAGAGTGTGCTACTTCCAGTGGAATCAGGGTTTAGACACACCTCAGGAGCTCTGAATTTTGTCGTGCCCTGCAGAAAGCAGCGGTGGCTCGGGAGCCGATTCACAAGCGGATTAGGCATTAATCGGGTAGTCTGTGCTGGTCAGAGGGGTGGTGGTTCATGTCTCAGTGGTTACAGTGGGCCTGTCAGAGGCCTTAGCCCTGCTCAGAGGCAAGGATAAGGAGCTCAGACACATCCTTGTGCCAACACAGATACTTCCCATGGGCACACAGGGAGAGCAGGAAAACAGGGGTGTATTCTCGTGGGGGTGAGCACCAGCCAGGCTGGCAGAACCCAGCTGCTCTGGACTCCACTGCACGGTAGAGATGTACATCACAGGAGGTACCTAGGGCAGCATTAATTGAAACAGAGCATCCTCACTAAGATACTGGGGGAGGAAGGACAGAGAGTGTCTGGTAGGGTGAGCTCCTGAGAGGTCTGTGGCCACGCTCCAAAGGTCTGATATAAGTGCATAAGTTAGACCTAAAAAGATTAATGTAAGCAGTCTCCTTATTTGAAATTAGATTGGCAAGCAAGGTGACTAAGAGTGACTATTTAATATCCCTTTCTCTAACATTCAGTTTTTCATTCTTACTTTCAATGGGAGGGAGATAAAATCTGGCCTTCAAAGTGCTATGTACTCATTCCAGTGCCAAAATACAAAACACAAATCAGCAACTTAAATTTAGGGGCATACTAGATTCCCTTAACTGCACTTGGACAAATATGCATGTTAGATATAGGAATGTAAACTTAGGTAGCTGCTTTGATGTACTTATAAATGTTTTGGTTTTTTGACTGCTGTGATTTTGTGGGCTAGTGTAGTAAGAAGCTAATGGAGAGGAAGCTAGGCTGCTCTACAACTTTTTTTTTTTTTTTTTTCATTGCCAGGCTAATCTTTCACTGAGGTTCATTGCACATCAAGTGTTTGGTTAATTATTTTATCTTATTTCTATTTTAAACCAACTTTTTTTGGGGGGGAGGGGTGGAGGGAGAGGGGGCTAAGGGTGTGGTGTTAAGTTCTTAGTTTTAAATTCCCTCAGATTCTGAAGGAGGATACCAATGAAGAAAAACCTACTTTGCAATTTCCATATTGTAGAGGTATCTTATCTGTGGTTGCGGTAGTTATAAAAATCAAGTCTGGAGTGTCTTTTTCTGTTGATCTTTTCTAAGATGACTGTACTGACTGGTATGGTTTCAAATAAAAACAGTAAAGTTATTGACTTGTAAAAGAGTTGACTGTCATTTTCTGCTTAATTCCTCTTTTGCTGAACAATTTCTGTGATATTAAGTTAATTTGTGACACTTTAGTAGGTGCTGGCCTGAGGGGGAAAATGTTATAGTTCTTTCACAATTCATTGGTTTGTGGATATTTCTGTTATGTTGTTTCCACACTGAATGACTCATATGTTAAATGAACATGCCAGCCCCAAGGCATGCCCTCGCTATTGCAGCCCACAGTGAAACTTGATGCCATTGCACATAAAAATGTGGAAGATGCTCATATCTGTTTGAATCCTTGGGAAGTTTTGTGCACTTCAGACGCGTGTGCTAGCAATTACTCAACGTATGTTCTTTCAAAAAGCTGTGGTTTACCATGTCTGATTGCTCTTTTTCACACTGTTAATTTGCTGAGTTTGTAAGCTACATCTGTCTTGTAAGCCCAAGTTGGAACTGAGAAATAGTAATTTTTAGTTGGTTTTTTTTTGTTTCTTTTAACAAGGTGGAACGGTTTCATTGTATTCATTTCTGGACTATTTGATGGGAGGCTACAGAAGTATCTGATTTGCACTGCCACCTGTGTATTTTTTAAAGTATTTTGACAGATTCAGAAATTGTTTTATTTTGGAAGCTGATAGCACAGATCTAATGCTCTCCACGTTGTGAAAACACTAGTGTTAGATTGAACTAGTTGGACCTGATTACCTTAGCTGTCCTTGAATTTGGCTTTCTTACCCATTGGATTTTTTGTTGTTTAATAAGAACATGAAAGACGAAACAGATTTACCTATTGATGAAGTCACAAAAATTATCACATTACAGAAGCTTCACATCAGAATGTTGCTAGGAGCAGGCTCTTTGGTATCTGTAGGGTGAGAGGTGTGCACTCACAGCAGTGAGAGGAAAGGCTTTGAAAAGTATATGAAGTAAAACTTTTCTGATACTTTTTGATTCTTTAGGATGTTTGGGCTTTTTTTCTGTGCCATATAGTGGTGGTAACTCTAAGCCTTCATTGATTCATGTAGTGAAAGTATGTGTATGTCTCCAGAATTTTTGTTCTGTGGTTTTGTTTTGTCATTTTGATAGGAGTAAGACAGATTGCTGTGACAGGATAAATAAAACATATCACAAGTCAGGTATTTTGGCTTTTAAATAATGGTCTTGTTCTGTCGTGCATAGTATGTAATGGAGGAGTTTATGCCAAAGCGAACAGATACATCTATGGGAAGACCACTCTTCAATTTAAATTTTTCACTCAACATTACTTATGGCTGTACATTGGGTGCAACTTTTTCTGTGTCCCTGCTTGTTTTCATGAGGAGGTTGTCGCTGCCCATCTAACTCTGCTTTCACTGATGGGAAGCTTGTGTGTCCCGTCCCCTGTCAGCTTTGGCAGCAAGACTAGGCACGTTAATGAAAACTATGTGCAACTGTTAACAACATTGATCGCAATTGCACAGGAAACACTGGAAGGCAATAAAGGCAACTGTTTCAATCCTGTGTGCAGTTCTAGCGCCCCCAGACCAAGTCGTCTCAGGTCACTTAAGGATGTCTCACTAAAATGGTATTAAGACATATAAAGTTATAACAAGTCTACGGTTTAATGTTAAAGTGCTGTTGATGTGCAGGCAAGAAGAAGGAGGTAGCAAAGTGAAAATACGTCAGAAATTACTGCTCTGGCCAGCTGATGTGTTTGAAAGAATGGTGTGAAGGTGCAGAGGGTGGTACCAGCTGCATTTGCTTTTAATAGACCATAGTAACAACAGCAAGCCAGAAAGTGGATGTGCTGGTGTATTCCACATCTACAGGTGTAAAAGCTGCCTCGCTTTGCAGTCTTTGGCTTGTCAAGAGCCTTCGTTTGTTTGCCAGGAGAAATTCTGGAGTCGTGCTCATGTCTGCTGCACCATGTACAGTTTTAGTCCTGCTCTCTCACTTTCCCACCTGTTCCAGAGCGTTTTTTCTGTTTCTGTACTGCGTGATGAAGATGAGCAGCTCTCAGGTAAAGCTAAAGGGCTGTGTTTTGACAAACAAATCAGGGTTTCTTACAAGTATAGAAGGAGCACCGATGTCAGGGGCTGGTGGGGTACCGTCCTCTTCCTTTTCCCGTGGAATCCTTCCGTGCTTTTCTCTCGGGGGAGGCGGAGGTGGTTCCACCCGTGGCAGTGCTCAGCTCTGCCGGTTTCCGGCGCACGGACCGTGTTGCACATGAGCGCGTCCGAGTGGCCTCGGGGTGTTCCCCGTGAGATCTGTCCTCGGCCAGAAATTTCTGCACTGGGATGGTCCGGGCATCGCCCGGTGCCTTCAGCCCGCCGGGGCGGGAGGCGAGAGGCTGCTGCCCGGGCTCGGCGGCATTAGGACCCGGCGGGTCGAGCCTCCTCTCTGTCCCTCCCTCGCCGGGTCGCAGCCGGCGGCCCGGGGAGCGGCAGCAGCCGGGGCCGGGGCCGGAGGGACCTTTGGCCGCCGAACAGCCGCTCCAGCTGGCTTCATGTCGGGTTTCCTTTGTTCATTTCTAGCAGAAACTTAGCTCTTCCTTCAGTGGTTGTGCAGGGGATTGTGGCGCTTGATCGTCTTCAAAAACGTGCTTTGGCTAATGCTAAAATACATCAAATTTAATGCTTACATGATATTAGCACTACAAGACTTGTACAGCAACTGCTATGTATCCTGCTGAAGTCTTTGTACTATCATATTTGAAACAAGACCGTAAGAATAAGAGTTAAATTAGAATTAGACTGGAGCAGAAGTTGATAGATTATCTGACACTTGGCTTCTGTAGTG